AACGCCAAGTTTCTGGCCATAAACTTTATTCCGGGGCTTCCTACTGAAATGTTTTCCTCCTCGCAGCCGGTATTTCCTCGTTTTTTCGGGCTCTTGTTTGGCAGCATTTGTTTTGTTATGGTTTTAATTAAGTTTTAACTGGCGCTAGACCAAAAATGCACCACACCAGATCGGAGCTCTGCGCTCCTAGAGTTGTTATAATTCACATACAACACTCACAACAACTTTTTGAAAATTCATAAATTTTAAAAGCAGCCTTCTAAAAATGTAGAGCCCCTGAAATTTAAAAATTATTATTAAAACTACTTTCCTTAATTTATTAAATTTTTTAAAATGGAAAATAACTTTAAGGTCCCATTTTTCAATGTCATGTTAACCTTTGTCATCGAGTTAAATTGGCTGTTTCGGAAATATGTAGATTTTCAAAACAATAATAACATTAATGGTCATTTTTTTAGAATTCTAAGAAATCGGATTTAAAGATTTGTAGCTCGCAAAATTAACATAACATTTTATCTTACAGATAAAAAACTGAAACATTAACGTGTCTTCAAGAAATGCTACAGATGCTTTTCCTGGGTGTGTTTAATAGGTATTATAATAAATTTCCCTTTAAAAATTCCGATATTTTTTCAGTGTAAAAGCCTGGAAAACACACATTGGAAACCGAAACCTTGCCCATGAGGTGGCTCTTAGCTTTTAGCTTTCGGTTTCGCTTGGCCTGGCGGGATCTTTCCCCAGTTTGAGGACGGGAACAGGGCTATTTCGAGGCTGCTGCTGCTGACAGGCGCCGGGGAAATTGATTAATGTGACTTGTAAATGGCGCCAGATGGAAAATGGAATGGGAGCTACTGGCGGAAGGGATGCCGTGGTAAACGGCCTAGAAATGTTGACTTGAAACTGCAGCAATTTGTGGCAGAAATTGTTGCGCCAAAAGTGTCACATGCAATTGAGCCCCAAGTCAGGCTCATGTTCAGAACACTATCAACACCATGGCAACATCTATTAGCCGAGGTCCTGCGTCCTTGGGGCTGCGTTTAGTTAATAGCCTACACCATAATTAACAGCCACCAAGCAAACAATTTCAATGTTTGTCCCGGAATGAAAAATGATTTTTGGCCATTGTGGCCTGTTTCACGTGGCAAGGCATCATAAATTTCCTACCCGCTCTCCGTGTTCAAAAATTTCATTATGCGAAAGTGAGTTCCGTTAATGTGTTTTCCGAGGCGGCGGCGAAGGAAATGCGGAAAACTCAAGAGGAGCTCCGGCAGACATACCAAATTATGCACAAGACAAACAGCAAACATTAGCGACACGAACGGGAAAAGCGGGAGGATCGTGAAAATAACAAGGCAAGCTTAAAGTCACGTATTAGATTCTTATAAAAACCGTTTATTTTTGGTAGTGATTTTTAGTTAACACATATTTTTTTAATAAATTATTAAATTAGAGCATATAAGTTGATTTAAGGTACCTGTTACAGTTAGTACTCTACTTGTTGTCCTAAAAAATATGGTATGCCACGAGAAGATTGAATATTATGTTTATATTTGCCAACCGATCGAACTCATTTTTATTTCGATCCGATATTATGAAGTTAGTTAACTGTCGAATATGAGATAAGTTAAAAAGTCTCAAAAATCGCAAGAGAAAATGTTTGCCAAGATATGTTCACCATCCTTAGATGAAAAGCTACAAGCCTTTAAACATTATAAATACGATCCCGTCTTTTGCTCTGTATTCTGGTAGAAAAAGAAAAAGATTACTCAAATTTTGGACAGAACTTTAAAGATCTTACCGTTCTAGGACGAGCAGGATTGTACTGCGCTTCAGTACAAAGAGAACAAAAATGGTGACACCCAAGGCCAAATGGTAGTAGTAGGCCAACCAAAAGACCCATTGCCAGAAAACGTTGCCACGAAAAAAGTAGGGAATTAGATCCATAACCCAAGACATGCCCATCATAACACAGATTCGCACAAATCTAAGGTATCTGTTATATGGATATGGAATGATATCCAAAAATGGAATTACATAACTATTAAATGGTTAGTTCTTACGTGCTTCTGTCCGACTTTTGGTTGGAAATTATCAACTTTTTCGCATTTCGTTGCACTTTAAACATTTCAATGGCGGTCAGGGCAAACATAACCCAGTTGACGACGGTTAGAATCAGTATCGGTCCAATGAAATATATGAGTATAGACCAGTCATTAGCTGCATTTGAAGAAAGAATATAAATGTTTTAATATAAAAATGTATATTTATTTACGATTAAACCAGCATTGAAAGAACCCGATAGCAGGGGTCCATTTAGATGAGGAAAGATCTCCTCCCCAAAAGTGATCTACTAGAAATATGACAGTGGTCGCCATTCCTGATATACCCCAGACAATTGCGTTATAGTAAGCAAATAGGTTACTATGTTCATTCTTATTGATCGACAGCAAACCAATCCGTATTTTATGGCTGATAACAAAGAGCCAGAGAATACAGGTAATTGCGAAGAAGTATCGAGCGTAACCTGCAAAAGATAATTAATTTAATAATGTTCCATTATTAAATTTAAACTAATTCCCTGCTGAAGTGCAAGATTCTTTCACTAGAATTCCATATCTTGTCAGGAGCCACAAAAGGTGGTGTATAGAAAAGCACGCTATGTAACACATAAAGCATTTATTGATTATATTCCGTTTCTTATATACGAAGATATATACTGCGATGGTAAGTGCGTTGCATATCAGTGAAATCGCTACAACTGGTGGATTTTACACAAAAAAAAAAGCATATTAATATTTGCAGGTATTTTAGCTCGTATTTTTGCTTACCACTTTTCTCTAGGTCCACCTTTTGCCCATTTTGATACTCGCAGGGCTTGTGTAAAACAAGAAATATCTGTTTTGGAAAATCTGAAGAAAACTGATTGGGATAGAGACAGAAAGCATCTGTGCTCATGGTCCAATTTTGGGACTGAATTCCAAAAGATTCGTTCTAAAAACATTCGATTAGAATAAGTACGAAATGGATTATTTTAAATACCAGCCTCAAATATTATAAGTTTTTCGTCCGTAAGATCGTAAGCTTCATCGCAGTATCCAAACCCATCACTATCCAACATCAGGTCGGGGCTTAATTTAAGAAGTTTCGTAGTACCGTCCTTAAGAGACATTTTCACGAACGGTTTGATTCCGACAAGCTCATTTTTTAACACTTCACCGCACTCGCCGTCGGGTAATATTAGATTCCGCGGACAGCAGACACGGATAAGTGGTATTACTGATATATTATTTGCATCCAATGTATGACCTTCAGGAATAATTGTCCAAGACTTATCTGGAATGTGTAGCACAAAAACTATAAATAACATTGTCCGAAACATTTTCGAAATGTTCCACACAAAGATCAAAACTTGACTGGCCCTGATAGCCCAAATTTACAGTTCTTTTATAGCCTTATCAGGGTACTCCTATTCCCCACAGAATGCAATCTTGCCAATAAAAATTGAAATGATGAACAAAACATTGGGAAGTTTATTTTATGAACAAAGTTTTCGATAACAAAACATATTATTATACCAGTTAAACGTAGAGTTAAAGGGTATATTGTATTTGTCGGTAAGTATGTAACAGGTAGATGGAAGCGTTTCCAACCCTTTAAAGTATATATATTCTTCATCAGGATCACTGGGCGAGTCGATCTAGCCATGTTTGTCTGTCCATATGAATTCGGAAATCTCAAAAACTTGGGGCTTGGCATACAGATTCTAGGGCTTCTTAAGTCTAAAGTCTACTTGGCGGCCAAATTTAACAAATTTATATTTTATTTAAAACTTAAATCGGAGTAAGGGGTATCTGATAGTCGGGACACTCGAATATAGGGTTTCTTCTGGTTTTTTTTATTTGTATCATGAGGGAGTTCCTTTTTATAAATGGGAATTATCCCAATCGGAAATTCCAATACATGACCATAAAATAAAAAAATTAAATAGAATAAAAAAAATGGTTATGAGAAACAATTATCAGCAAATATATATTTAATTCTAAGAACGTATGTTTTTTTTTTTTATTTATTAGCATGGTTAAAAGTATTTATTCTGTAATATTCCTGAAATATTCCTTTCTTTAGGTAGATATACTCCAAGACCTATTGCCTTCTTCCTTTAGCCATTTTTAACTTATGACAGTCAATTTCCTATTCAAAAACAACCTCCATTTCAGCTTAACAACTTAATGCCAACACCATTGGCTTGCATACAAATGCTGTGTAAAAATAAGTTAACTGACTTCGTATTGGCTGCCTACGCAGTTCTGTAACGCCAAATTTGCAATTTCTGCATTAAGTCAACAGGGAGGATGGGTGTTTTCCAGGGAGCCAGAGGGAAAACTGGGAAAGCCCGACAGAAGCGAGACATTTGCTGCGTTGCTGGCGTGACATTTGTTTGGTTTTAATTTCGGTTCAAAGGTTGCCATGGCAGCCAGACTCCCAATTCCCCATTTCCCAGTACCCTTTTCCACTTCCCCAGCCCAGCGGCCGATGAAGTATTCAGGGTGGACCAAAACACTTGCTGTCGTCGCAACTGGTGAATGCAAAATTGAAATATTCCATGAATTGCAGGAATGCACTAAGCCATGAAGTAACCACCGGCCCCCAACTTTCCATCTACCAGTGCAAAATGGGCATGGCCAACACACGACGTCGTGCAACTATTTAATAAACATCACCAGGGGATGTCCTTTTCCTCCTGCAAACCGCCTGCAATCCTCCTTCACTCATTTTGGCTGCGGTTGGAGGAGCTTTTGATGTTTCGCTCGGTTGCATTTAATAAGCTGCCGGAACGCCAAAGGGGGCGCAGAAGCAGCCTGGGGGGGCGTGGCCAGGTCCTTTGACTCCAAGTCAATGAGGCCGCCTTGGGGAATTCTAGGAACATTAAGCAAGAAGCCAGGCACATAGTACCTCCCTCTTTAGGATATACACTATTATTTTCGAGTTGAGCACTCTTATATATCAACAAACTATTTATTTTTGCTCATGTTTCAAGGAACTCTTTATGTAGATCTCGTTATATTTGTGTGGAGACTCCATTGAGTCGAAAAACTCGTTCTCATCAATGGCAAATCCGTGTTTCTTCACACAACAGACCTTGTCCTTTTTGGGACAATAGCCCACTTCTCTGACAATATAGCAGTCCTTTTTATCCACACAGGAGGCCAACAACGAAGGCCTGGTTATGCTTTGATTGGTTTCGTCACAAACTAAAAAAAATATGAGTTTTCTATCATATCTCAAACCTTAATCAGGGTTTTTTACTTACGCAGAGGCTTGTATATACGTCGCCGAGACATAACGTTCGCATATGGCCAAAGTAGAAAAATCAAAGCGATCTGTATGATCATTGTGAAGGAACTAAATCGTGATACTGTATACTCTGAGAATTACTACACATTTTAATTAGCCAAGCGGTGAAAATGTAACATGCTTAGTTATGCCAACTTATTTAAGGTGGTATTCCTGTGAGCTCCATAATTTATATGCCCTTTCGATTTGTTATGCAATCTATTGAATTCCTGCTGGGTTTACTGGCTGAAGCAAGTGCGAATGGAATACAAAAGAAAAATGTTGTTTGCGAATGTTGGTAAACAAAGGGAATCCACCTAAACCAGGTCCTTTTGGATTTTGCGACTGCTCTGGCTGGCTGCCAGCTGCTTGTTTGGATGGGTGGCCATGGGAATGGGAATCCGCAATAAACCAGGACCCACCAGGAACTACGAGGAAGTGACGAAGGCAACGGCAATGGCAACGGCATCTGGAGCAGCAGCAAAAACCCAAAACTATTTGCACTCAACGGCGGCAACAAATGTTGCTGCGGTGTTGCCTTGTGCTACTTACTGCTGCCATTTGATGGCGATGGCTAGATGTCGATGTTTTTGCCCTGTAACATCCAACATCCAACATCCTTGCCAGGACAGGATCCCAAAGTATTCCTCGATGTCGAGCTGTGCAAATATGGAGGCGCCTGGTGATGTGTTTACAAGTTTGCGAATTGTTGTCATTGTCGTCAGCTGGCCGAGCTTCAACTGGCTGTGGCTCCCCTCAATCTTGGCCAGCACTCGGTGCTCAGTCTCAGCCCGCTTTTCATTACCAATTGGTAGTCCCTTCCCCCGGACCCAGGACCCAAATGCAAACATCAATCAAGCTGCATTATGCAAATATTCGCTCGAAAGTTGCAACAAAAGCGCATCGAGCTTGGGAAGAAGTGAAAGACGACAAATGGGAAATCGGAAATGGGTTTGGGTTTGGGTTTGGGTTCGGTTTGGGGTTCGGGTTCTGGATTGGGGGCTAGAGATTGGAGAGCAGCCTGTCAGACGTCAAAAAGCAGTTGCTATCCGTTTCACCGCCTTCCATATACCATCATCCATCGCTGCTGTCAGTTGCATTACTAAGACAACAAGAGGATGGTTCATCAGCTACACTTCAATGAAATACTGAATGGCATGCAAAATGTTTCTAAAGTGTTTCTGAAATGTGAAATATTTGAACCAAAAATATATATTCACTTTTCTGGGTTTTAATGTTCATTCCCAACATTTTGGAAGCATTGTAAACATTTATAAATTTTCTAAGTATACAAAAATTTTAAATATTGTAAACACATCAGTACTTTATATACCCTTTGTTTCTAAATGGTTCCTTAATCTAAAACAGTGTGGCAAAAATACAATTTTTAAAAAAATAATTTGAATGTACCCAATACATAAATACAATGAATTTTCAGCAAAAAAAAACTAAGTATTGTTTTTTAATATCCCAAGTCCTTAAATTATTATTTAGTTACCAAGCCACTTGTTCCTTTCTATAAAGTTTAAAACGTTTGCTGCTTTTTCTTAATAATCTAGGAGCATTGTAAACATTTATAAATTTTCCAAGTATACAAGAAATAAGGAAAAATTGAGAAAGGTAAGGGAGAAAGCCAAGGCAAGACAGCTGCCAATAGTTCGACTCGGCGGGATTCGTTTGCGGGGATTCTCTGGCTCGCCGTTCGCCTGAATTAAACGATAACGAGTTTTGGCTTTCATCGCTTCATTTTGAAGCTAAAAGCAAGTGAAGGGTTGCTGGCTGCCAGGACCAGAAAAGCTGAGAGCCAAGATGGAAGAGCTGAAGAGCCAAAGGGCCAAAAGCCGGCTTTTGTTTATGCGTAAAGTTTCGCGACTGTGGGGACAAGAAAAGGAAAAGGATGCTCGAAATACGGGGGGGATTGCATTCGGGGGCCGGATGAAATTAAAACGTCTGCAGAAATTTATGCCAACACTTTAAAGGGCGGCTCCATAGGGGTTTTTCTACCCACTGATTTCCTACAGACAATATATGCATTGTATTGAAGTGCCATACATCGAATCCATATTCCCGAATTCCATTTAATTTCCCTTTGCAAACTTTCTGCGGTAGTGGAGTTCCAACTTTTTCGCTGCTGACAATAAACAAAGGCACGCGGCGAAAAAAGGAAAACAGAAATCTTCTAGGTTTTTTAGAGACGAGGGCGTTGGCGGCTGGGGGCGTGGCAGATTTCAGTTTGGCCTCGTCTGCAGTTTGTTTAGCTGGCAACACTTTGTCGAAAACTTTGCATAAACTTTGCGTTTGGCTTTATTTTTTTTTTTCAAAAATCCCCAAGGAAAACTTTGCAAATTACTTTTACGATTTCCGAACAAAATGCAAGACATACAAGAGCAAAAATTGCCGTGTGCCGTTAATTGCAAGCAATTTGCGTTGCATTAAAAGTTAATGCCAAGTCTAAATCCGGAAAATTCCCCAGCTTAAATGCAGCGTTCGCCGAAATATGCGATTTAAGGGGTTCACCAAGAAAGTTTGCTAATGACGAAACACTGTTCGAAATTAACATGCAACTTTGAGGCTACGAGTACAACTACTACTACAAGTAGGACTTCATTTCAATACGCCCCCGGGGCCACGCCCACCTTTTGCATAATCCCTCAGCTGTTAAGTAGTTCTGCTGGGGAAATAAACAATTTAATTAGGCGGTACGACCATGTGTGTCTGCGAGTGAAATCAAATATGCGTAAACATCAGCTACAAGATTGGGGCCCTCCCGCCCGAAACCCCATCCATTGAATACATATACCTATGGGTCCTATACATATCTAAACACGACGCAGGCATGCGTAATTAAATTTACATGAATTTGATATTGAGCACACAACACACACACCATCGCACACTCACTCACACACACACGCTTGGTTGAATTGCGCGGCCTGCAATTAGCATTGCCTACTTGCCGGCGCAGAAAGCAGGAAGCTCGAATTTCTATTGCCTGCTTTTGAGCGCCTGGCTTGGAATAGAATTCTAGCATTCAAATGCGTAGCACACTCCTACACTTTGGGGTATTTTATTAGCACTAAGAACTCTGAAGGTTGTTTTAAGATTTTTAATAAGGTTCAATGAATTTGTTAGATACATAGTTCGATTTATATAATTTTGTGTTCCGATTAATACAAATTGGTTCTCTAAATTCTTTATTTCGTTTTGTTTTACATATCAAAATGCCTCGTTTAAGCAAGGAACCATAAATAAGATGATTTATTATTAATTAGTTTTATTTAGAAAATAATTAAAGCAACACCAAAGGTGTCTAAAAGTATTTTTTTTAGTATAACAAATTTATTTATTTATTTAACGTTGATAAGCCAACTTAATGGCTATAAAACGTTGTCTACGAAGAGGAAAAATTAACATGGAAACATAACAGTCTAAAAGTATGCGGTGAATAAATATAAATATGTTGTTGCATACTTTTACACACCTCTATAAGAAATTCCAAAATCATAGAACCTTCTGTCTCCAATAAATGCATTACATAACATTTATAAAATTAAATATATAAATGGGAAATATTTTCAATGTAACATTAGAAAAGATTTTTTTTCTAAATTTTTTTGAGTCATGAACTTCGACCTCAGCTGTTCTTTACATGTACAGTGCGTATGAAAGTGAGACAACGTACTGACACAAATGAACTGTTGCGAAAGTTCATTGCGAGGGGAAAACTTTTGCATTGTCTGATTCGCTCCCCCCGCCCCTAATTGGCTGCGACCCCCCTCCCCCTCTCGTCAAGCCCAATGAATCTCTAATTTGGCGCATTTCAGAGTTCATAATAATTAAAATTACGCGCTGTCTGCAATGTTGTTTGTACCCGCTGTTGTTGTCCTTGTTATATGTATTATTTATGGCTTGCGAAACTTTGTCCTTGCGACTTTTGCCTTTGACTTGATGCCAACTTTTCGGTTTTCGTTCGTGGCATTCATCAACTTTTTGCGTAAACGTCATGGATTCAGACAGGAAGTCAGAGGGCAAGCGAAGGAGTTATAAATAGAGATATAAGTCAGTGCTTTTGTCACATTCACGATTCGTAAATCTGATTATGAAAAGCGTTTAATTTCTGTGAATAATTGCACTTTTCTGTGGATGTGCTTGCTGATTGAAAAAGCGTATATGTATATGTTGGAAAAGCTGTTGGAAATTCTGTTTGACAAGCGCACGACAACAAAAGCGGCATTTTGTTATTATTTTTGTTATTATTCCAGCTCTTGGCAATGTCAACAATTTTGCGCTTTTATCTGTTTGCACAGCAAACGGGCGCCCACCGCCCACCTCCCACTTTTCGCCCCCCTGGCCTACGATTCAATGTGTGTTTAACATAAAGCGATTAATTGCTTTTCATTAAACGCAGCTCGTTTTCCCCATCTCATTGGCCCACACCACTCCGCCTTTTGCCAGCTGCGCTTATTTAACTTTTAATTTGAAGTCGCGTTGAGGCAATTTCGAAATGTGTTTACCTTGGGAAAACGACATGCGCCAGAAACTTAAGAATTATCTTAAGAACGAATCGAACTTAAGGTAGAACAAGTAGATTATAGATCAAGACTTTAGTTCGGGGTCCATTTTTAGGCAATGAATATCATCAAAAAGACCAACTTAATAAAAAAATATGTAACAAAAAATTTATTTTTTAATACTAAAATATAGTACTCATTAGAGTTTTAAATTTAATTTTTAGGTGTCTAAAACTATGTAGTGAATAAAAAAATTCTGAGTGAATTCATTGTATTTCTGAGCTTTAAATATATTGTTGCATACTTTTAGACACCTGAAATGCTCCCAAACAAATTTAAGACCTGTGCTTATTCAATGAATTATTAATCAACACCCTTTCAAAATCCATAACTCTACAATTTATTATAACCATTTTAAAAACAAATCCATTTCTTCAAAAATTCTCTTTTCTTAGGATGAATAATTTTCTGCTAACTTAGAACACTTTGGGTGACATGATTGCCATCAATAATTCACCCAAATATTCTCAACTTTTCATGGACCCCTGTAATTGGCCGTTAAGCAGTCTGCGCCATGAAAAATATCTTTCTTAGCCAGACAGGTGGGCAAACAGTCCTTCATCTGGCGAACATGCCGCCCAGGCAACGCCCAGTTTACAGTTCAAAGGTGGCTGGAGGTCAAGGCCGGGCCTGCAAAGGCGAATTTGAGGCAATCCGTCGGCTAGACGAGACGACAAACAGCTGGCCAAGTAATTGGCGTGGGCCTAACTGCAGGGCAATCAACCGGGCCAATACCATTACCAATATAAGCGATATATCATCTTATTTCAGCTGTCTGCTTAGCAATCGCCTTTTTTTATGGCCCTGGTAGAGAGCCATCAAAGGCAATAGAAACTTTACAACTTGCAGACATCTTTTGGGGCACAGACAAGAATTTTGAACTCGACTTGACTTCATTGATGGCCAAGCCAGTAGTGTATGTACGTTGGTGTTTGCATACGATGTGGAACATTGGCCCTAAGCTCCATTGGACATGGACATTGGACATCCAGAGTACTTGGTAAGGAGGGGGTAGGTCACAACAACAGAAGTGCATTGAAGGCGAGCAAACTCTTGGCTTGAAGTTTCCGAAAAGCATTTCCTTGTCACCCTCGAACTTTTCGACCCATTGTACTGGATTCGCCTGCAATCCGCATTTTCCATCCAAAAAGGACTTGGGGACTAGGGACCAGCCTTAGCCTTGGCCCCCCAAAATAAGCCATGGCTAACAGAGTTCTGTTAATAACCACGTGCTTTCCTGCAAGTTGGCGATTCTGCGCAGTGCGTAGGTTTACCTCTCTGCGAAGTGTTCCCAGTATTTGGCCACGGTGCGTATGATTGATAAACCAAAATAAATATTTGCCAGCCTCTGCGATGCATAAAGGGCCAAAATACTCGGAGTATTTCGAATGGGGAATGGTATTCCAGAGGGCTTTTTTAGGCGTTGGTCGCACGTTGTCGAGGGGTTGTGACCCCTGGCCCTTTCCAAAAAGGGCGGTTTATGCCTCCAAACATCTGTGTTATGGGTACAAACACACACACAGACTGACAGCAGTGACCTTGAGGAGGCTTTTGCATTGCCTGTGAAACAAGAGAGCGCGTGGCCCACTGTGTGTTTGTGTGCGTCACGTGTAAGCAGTTTGGCTTATATACCAACCTGTATATATACATATA